TGGGCAGGATGCCGCAGGCGCTCCCTAGTGCCCACCTGGCTGTTCCCAGGGCCGCAGCACTGCTCTGCTCGTCGCGGTCCCCATGCCAGCCTTCGGCTCCCTTGGAAGACGGTTGGCATGTCTCCTTTCAGCCTTTTCAAGATTATTTTTTTTTTGTCCTTAATCCAAGAAACACGAAGCCTTTTTACAAAACATACCAGCACCATACTGCCACAATTTTTTTATCCGCAATTAAGTGAAAATTAAAACAAACTTTGAATATTCATTTATTAGTTTGCCTTGTAAAATGTGTGTCCTTTCAGAAGTGTTCTTGCAGCTATTCTGTGTGTTGCCTTCTGACATTTGAACATTCTGCAGGCTGCAAAACAGTGCTGCAAGCTAAACAAACCTCCTTCTTCCTCAGTTAGCACGATCCTTTTCCCATGTTTTCCATGACCTCCAGGGATCTCTGTTGCTCCAGGGTTTCACCCGGATGATGCAGTTCTTCCTAAAAGCCTGGAGGCCTTTCAGAGTCCTGATTCTGTGCCAGCCTTGCTGGGCTGAAGCCCCCCCTCCGTGGTGCCTCTGGGGTCTGGCTGCAGCAGCATGGCTGTGGCGAGGGAGCCTGTGCCAGGGCGTCAGGGCTCTGGGCAGCAGGTGGGCATCTGGGATCGGTTCTTTCTGCAGCTGCGAAGGGAAGGACATCGCGTAGTGGCAGAGCTGCCCCTGCCTGGGTCTGGGATGGCAATCAGCCAGCAGGGATGAGGAAGGCTGGGCAGGTCCTGAACTTTTGGGTCGATGTCCAAGGGATCTGTTCCACACTGTGCTGCTCCGGCCCTGGCTGCCCCGTGGCTGTGCCAGCGCTGCGATGCCTCCGTTCCTCGGCTCCCATCTCGCCCATCCGTCTGTCGCAGCACCCAGCTCTCCTCCCCGGGTCTCTGCAGACAGGTTGGTCTTGGATTCCAAGTGTCTCGAGTTACCACCAGGTTATGGTGGTACAGAAGGGGTCCCTGCACGGCACCCACCCTGGAGTCCCTACAAGAATCACCAAATGGCTGAGGCTTGGCAAGAGACGTTCCCAGGCTTTGCTCCCTTCCAATTTTCAAGCAACTTTCCCCTCGGCCTCTGCCTCAGCCTCACCAGCCCCATCTCAGAGGCGCACTCCGGGTGGAACAGGGTCTGCGGGCACAGCTGGCACGAGGCTTAGCAGCGATCTCGGCAGCACTGCGGGAGTGGCTCCTGCAGCAGAGCCACTTGTTCCTCGATCCTGTCCGTGTGGGGCTTCACCGAGTGTCACGGGTGCCCCCGTGAAAAACGTGTTTGAAATCAGACATCGCAGTGCAGGGCAAACGCGGAGTCTTTGGATAAACAGCAGAACGTGCCGTTCGTGGTGGGAGAGGCTCGCACGAAGCACCCGCTCTGTCTCCGATCAGCCAGTCCTTGTCCCCAGGGGAGACCTGTGCTGGGCCTGTGAACCAGTGTCGTAATTCCGGGATTATGGAGAGCCACCGCCTCCTTGGGGGCTTCTGTTCCGTGGCACTTACAGCACTGACGGCAGCCCGCGTCCCTCCTTCCGCGGGAATGAACCGTGTCCGTTCCCTCTCCTGCAGGAGGTCGGGCTCTTGCCGCTTGCTTCCCTGCTCACGTTCCCGTCTGCACCACAACTGGTCAGTGCGCTTTCTCGAAGGTTTTTAATAGCTCCATGTATTTATGCTCAGCAGTTTTTCCCACCTCAATTTTATCCTGAAGCTTCCTCCATCTGCTGGAGGCTGAGAGGAGCCCGTGTCTGCGAGAAGGCAGTGGTTCCTGCGAACCTTCCTTTCTCGGGACGAAGGCACAGACGGTGCCCGTTGGCGGGGACTCGTCCCGGGACCCCGTACTGGCCAGCACCAGCCCTTCATGGCCAGCGCACCGGCCGGGGGGGGGCCCCCGTCTGGGTTCGGAGGTTTCCATGGTGCCTACACACCGTGTTGTACTGGTGTTTGCTGCCGCTGGGGGTTTATGCTCCTGGAGACCGTCAGTCCTGCTGGAGCTTGTTTAGGACACCAGACCAGGAGAAGACAGAGCAGAAGTGTATTTCAACAAGAAGTAGGTCAGGATTTTGATTCTAAGGAAACAAAGCGTAAACGCAGCCTCCCTCCAAGTTCCAGAGAGCTAAATATTGTTGGAGTGTTTAATCCCTGGTGTCGCGTGGAGCCCCAGCTGCCGGGCGGCCCTGGGGCTTTGCCAAGGTTTCATAGAATCATAGAATGGTTAGGGCTGGAAGGGACCTTCAAAGGCCATCTAGTCCAACCCCCCTGCAAGGAACAGGGATATCTCCAACTAGATCAGGTTTGCCCAAGGCTGGAGCCGTGGGCAGCCTGGGCACAGAGCTGAGCCCCGCGTGCCCGCTCCACGCCATACTCTCCACCGCTTCTGCTCTGTCTCCACCTCTTTGCAACGGAGGCTGCTGCGGCAGCGGCGGGGAGGGCTGGGCCAGAGGAAGGTCGTTACCGTTGCTCGTACCGCGGCGGCGGCAGTGGTATAGCCCCGATGTCCCCACGGATTGCTGGGCTCCGGGAACACGTGTGCGTTACCCGTGAGGTTCGCGGTCTGGTGCGGTTCTCATCTGTCCGAACGTGCCGTGTGATACGTAATTGCTGTTCAGGTGACAGACCCGGCAGCGACGGGTCCAGCCTGGGCATGCCCGTGGCAGCGCGTTGATTGGCATGTCTTAATCCCAGGCTCCTGGCACCCTGGTCCCACCACTCGCGGGCTCCGCGTGGCATTGGCATGCGAGATGCTGGCAAACTGGGTGGGTTTCCTGCGCTCCTGTAGCACGGTGTGGTGCTGGCTGCGTACCCACCACTGTGGGGCTGCCGCGAC